GGCTCGCCTGCCTGGGAGAAGGCCAAGGACTTCTCCCAGAAGGTCTCGACCATGGGTGTGGACGGCCAGAACAAGGAGTGGGGCCGCGCTGCGCAGGACTATTGCAGAAGAGACTACTGCAGAAGACCATAATGAACATCCTTGTTTTCCCTTTTCAAGGTCGTGCTATGGCACTAGATATTCTTAACACCTAGATCAAAATCGCCAAGAAAGGCTTACTTTAGCGAGGGCAGCGTCTACCGCATTCGGACTTGTATGACTTGCTGTGCATCCCTTAGCCTAAGTCCCACATATTACCGGCAATGTTGTGCCCCCTGATGAGCAGGACTACCAGGCTGCTGACGAGATCCTGAAAGAGTGGACGGGGTTCATTAACTTGTGACCCCTAATATTGGGAAACCCTAAACACCTTTAACAGTAGCTTCCATTTTCTTTTCCATTCTTATCCCGATATAACCCCTTAACACACCCTATATGCACCTTGGAATCCTGAAGAGTTGACTCTGTGGCCCACAGGTGGAAGGAGCTCGCAAAGCTCTGAGCTGGCTAATCGCAACTTCAAATCTTTTAATGACAAGGACTGCCCATAAAAAGCGAATCGCGAAAAGAAAAAAGGAATTGAACATCAATATTTTAACATCTTCAGTTGAGAAAAGGAGGTCGAAAGCTGCTGGAAGCTCTTAGGTTGAAAGCAATTAGAGTGTTCCTTACAGCTACTATGTCCGTACCTGGCGAGACGCAGAGGTTCCGAACTTGCAAGATGCAATGCTCGATTGCACGAGCCTGATTTGAAGGTCACCTTGACTGTACAAAACCTCCTTTTTTTGATTAATGCAAAGGTCGGCCTGGAACCTTTATGGGCATTTCTGTTTTTTGATGTCTTGATTAATTGAGGCATGATGCAAAGGCCTTAATACTCGCGCAGCACGGCCAGCAAAAGTTGCGTAAGATCTCTTGGCCGGGACCTCAAGTTGGAGGGTCTCTGCACCGCAACGGCAGCAGTGCAGCCCCCCTTCAAGGGATTGTGCTGCCTTGAGAGCATGCGCGAAGCGTGCAAGTTTTGTTTCTCAGACGGATCCTTCCCAAGCCCTCCGTCACACTCCATCAAATGGCTCGACCCACCATCCTGGCCAAGGTGGGAGTCAAAGAAATAGCACGAACAATACAAATAATAATTAATAACAATTTCAGTAGTAATGGTAATAATAGTAACGATTTGCACCGCGTGCTTGTACATGCGTGCTCGCATCCCGCAGACTGGCATCTATCCGAAGGATGATTGCAATGGAAGTTCTGTTGTTTTGCTTGAATGTCTTTGAACAGGTTCTCCTGGCAGCATGCCTCGTCCTAGTGCTGAGGAGCTTGGCTGAATCTACAGCATGTCCCGCAAGACTTTTCAGGAAGTCTCTTCCTGAAGTTTGATATTCTAAGGCAGCTGCAGCCTGAGAATGCCTTTGTGACCCCCAAGCTGCGCGGAGAAGCAGCGGCCACAATGGCAGCCGCCATGGTTTTCGCCTCATTGCATGGCAGGTACAGGGCTACTGCTTGTAATCTCCCTAGGAATTATTCCTACATATCATCATAGTATAACCCTCGGGAATTATTTAAACATAGTGTTTTTAGTGTGGGTCTCAGGGGACTACAGCTGCATCTAGCACAACTTTCGGCCAACATCGATGTGCATCTGAGGTTGCCGCGAGTGTCGCAGGCCCCAACCCTGCCATGGCAGAGGTTCCCAAGCCACGCCCTTAGTCAGGTTGTATATACTGTTACTGTTGTTACTACTGCTGCTGCTACTACTACTACTACTACTACTACTCCTACCGCTGCTGCTGCTGCTGCTGCTGCTGCTGCTATTTTTTATTTTGGTATATTATTCTACTATTAACGTTATTATTAGTAATATTACTATACTGTTTTACTGTTATTATTGTCATTATTGGTACTGCTGCTATTGGTGTTGTTATGCTGAATGATTGGAGCAGCCTTGCTCGTTGGAAGGTCACTATCTTGTCGTCGCCGAAACCTTTCATTGCCTGCCCCGGCAACGTACAAATAATGACAGTGCCAATAATGACAGTACCAATAATGACAGTATCAATAATACTAATAATAGTCATAATAATAGTAATAATAATAGTAATAATAATCGTAATAATAATAGTAATAATATCACATTCTCGCTTGTCACGCTGGCAGCCCCTCACAATCGAACAATTGCCCCTGGCATGCCAGATTTTTGTTGTTCAGCTGGCTGAGCAAGCGACTTGAATAGCGCGTTTGGAGAGGAGCCCTTGCACTTAAAGCTTAGCAGAGGCTCTCCTTCTTTGGCCTG